GGTGCCAGAAGTAGTCTGGCACTGGCCCCAGGTCTTCATCTGTGGGAACTCCTGTGTCCTCTCCACTGCCTCCTGGGAAGCTCCTAAGACACTTCTCAGCTCTTCTGACTGACAGTCCTGCTCTCCTTCACACAGTTGCCTCCATACCAGTTCCCTCCAGTCAAGGTAGAGAGCCAAGGCCCTGTGAGGTGCCCTGTTGGGAGCAGAATGAGGGCCCATCCCCACTGTGTAGTTCTAGCTGGGGCCAGGTTCAGTGTCCTGGTCTGCCCTTTGTCTGTCCAGCAGAAGTGGGCCCAGGGAGAGCAGGTTCAGTCACGGAGAGGAGGGTCTGTTTGACATGCCGGGAAGACCAGGAGTGAAAGGTCAAAGAAGGTCCTGGAGGGCTGTGGTTTGGGGGCAGCAGTAGTTGACAGGTCGTGAGTAAGTGACAGGCATGCATGTCCAGGGGTGGTGGGAATGGAGCTTGCAGGCTGCAGGACGCCTGGGGCTGCTGTGGCCACCTGGGAAGCAGGGCCAGCAGCCCGCTCTCTCCCTGCATGGAGCTGCACCTAGCACGCTGCCAGCTCACCCTGCCAAAGGCAGAAGACAGCAGCTAGAACAGTCAACATTTCAGTGATTAGAGGTGACAAAGTCAACATGGTAGGAACAGTTCGGCAGACTGTTCATCTTTCTAAAAGCCAAAGAGCCTCCTACCCATAACGTCTGTCCATGCACAGTGCACTAGGGCTGTTAAAAGGGGCATGTGTGGGCATGGGGCCCAGGAGATGAGTCTAGTGACTAGGGGGCATTACCTGGTATTCTCCAAAGCTGCCTGGTGGAGAGAGAGGAGATAGCTTTTGCCCCAAAGGAGTCTATAGTCCAAGGTAAACTCTTGGGCAAAAAGTCATTTTAGTGCTGTCTGGTAAGTGCTCCAACAGAAAGCCAAGTGGAGGAATCAGGGAAGGCAAGAAGAGAGGGGAGAAGATGCTGGGTGTGCCTTCTATGTGTCTGGAGCAGTGGGGAGGTTGGTGTGGTTGGGGAAGTGTAGAAACAGGATGACTATTTCTAACACACATCTGTTTAGAGTTCCAGAAAAGTCAGCATTTGAAAAGATAATGACTGAGGCTTTTCAAGATTTGTGTCAAGGTGCTATTTTCTCAGATCCAGGAAGTTTAGTGAATCATAAGCAGAACAAGAAAAGAAATCGCCCTGGCTGGTATGGCTCAGTGGATTGAGTGCCCGCCTGTGAACCAAAAGGTCACCAGTTTGGCAGTCAGAGCACATGCCTGGGTTGCAGGTCAGGTCCCCAGTAGGGGGTGTGTGAGAGGCAACCGATTGATGTGTCTCTCACACATCGATGTTTCTCTGTCACTCCTTCTCCCTCCCTTCCCCTCTCTCTAAAAGTAAATAAATAAAATCTTTTTTAAAAACACCCCAAAAGGAAATCCCCTCTACACACAGCATCAGAAAACCAAAGAAGGAGACCATCTTCTATAAACCCACAGGTAACAGATGCTGCATGATTAAGGCATAGCCCTCAGACTGACAGCTGACTTCTCGCCAGTAATGTCAGACTCCAGGGGACAATGGGATGATGCTGTGAGAATGTGAAGGGGAGAGCTCTGTCAATGGAGAATTCAGTTCCAGCGAAGTCATCTTTCTTCCCAGGACAATTGTGAAATAAAGATATTTTAAGTTTCAAAATGAAGAAAATAACTGTCACTCCCTGAGAATCTTGTATTTAGTGAAGGTATTTTTCAGCAGTACAGACAAATAGTAATAGTTCCAGGTTACAGAAAACTAAGAGAATCTGTCACCAGCACATCTGCCCCACAGAAACGCTAAGGGCTATTCTTGCGGCTGGCAGAAAGGGCCCGATGGAAACTCAGAGCTCCAGGAAGGAATGAGAAACACGAGAAATGGGAAATGATGTGGGAGAGTATTTTTGAAGTAATAAGAATATAAGGAAATGGAATCATCATCATTCATGAGCCCGTGAACTCGCTGTTCCCAGCAGTTGGAGAATACACATACTTCTCAGGTACATACAGAAGACTAACAAGAAACTAGTCCTGTGCTGGGCAGAAGTGCCTCCACAGGCGGCCGCACATCAGGGCCACACTGAACATGTTTTCTGACAACAGTGTGCTTGAGTCAGTAACAAGAAGGTAACTGGAAAAGTGCCTACATGGGACATTGTTTAAAGACACTTCTAAATTCTTGAGTCAAAGAAAAAGATACGAAAATCAGAATTTGGAACCAAATAATAATGTAAATATTTTTATATCAGAATTTGTGGGATAACTGAAGCAACATTAAGAAAGAAATTTATAGCTTAAGGTGTTTGCATTAGTCAAGAAGAAAGGTACAAGATTAATGAGGTGGCACTAGGGTTAGAACAGCATTATACCCGACTAAGGAGAAGGAATGAAATAAGGATAAGAACAGAAATGAATTAGAACACAAACTAATAATACCCACAAAGAAGTTTGTAATTGAAAAGAATAATACAATGGACAGATATTTAGCAAGATGAATTTTTAAGAGCAGAGAAAAGTCACAGTGTTGGAAGTGAAACAAAGAACGTAACTGCAGATGCTGCCAGGGCTCCACATAGAGCAGAGGCTTTGATAGACTCCGTGCTTTCACATCTGAAAACTTAGACAAAATGGGTGAATTTGAAAAGGCTACTTAGCAAGCTGACTGAAGACAAAAAACCTGTAAGTAGGGATAGTTATATAATCATTAAAGAAGTTAGTTTCTTAAAAATTCCCCTCACCCCTTAAATCTACCCAGAGGGCTTTACTAGCAAGTTCTAACACCATTCAAGAAACAGTTCCACTTCTACACAGACTCCTTCAGAGGACGGGAAAATAGGGAGCACGCCTGCTCCTTCGATGCGGCCGGCATCATCTTCAAGCCAAAACCGGAGAAAGAGATGTGAGAATAGATGGGTCAGGCCAGTCCCATTTATGAACATAGGTGCAAAAACCCTAAGCAGAGAAACAGCATCAAAACCAAAATGAGAAAAATATAAAAATGTTATCGTACATCATGAAAAACTTGGTTTTCAAGGACCAGGTTCTCAGAAAAGGTATTACTGCACCACTTTAACAGACCCACAGAGGAAAATCATGTGATCATCTTACTGGAGCCAGGAACAGGTTGGTAACATTGATCAGCCTATTCAATGGGAAAGTCTTAGCAAACATGGCATGACGGGGAACTTCCGTGATCTGATAAAGGCCTTCTAAAAGGGAAAACGCCTGTTATTTCTATGGCACTGCTTCACAGTGAGATGTTGAAAGTCGGCCCTGCAAGAGCAAGACAAGGACACTGCATCCAGCCACACATCGGGACTGGTGGTGCCAGCTGTACAGTGAGATGGGGACAAACGGAAACGTGTGGGGACCACAAAGACTGCATTGTTGTCATTCACAAGTCATATGATCACGCACACGGACTATTTAAAAATGTCTACAGATGAATTTATTAGAGTTCAGAGTTATTAGAATCAATAAGTGAATAATTAGGATGAATTTCACTGTTAGAATTTAAGAGTAGCAAGATTTCTGGATACCAAAATCAGTATATAAAATGAAATTGTTTTCTATATAACAATAAATAAATAGAAAATGAAATTTTAAGAATATATCAGACCTTAGGGATAAATTTTTAAAAGGTTGTATAAATTTATTATGGAAGTAAAGGATGAAATTTTAAAAGATTCAGCTTCACTGAGACTATTATAGAAGACAAGTGAATGGAATGATACTTTGTGATTTGTGTTTGGAATACTTGCTGTTGTGATAACAATTTTTCTTAAATTGACCTGAGAGTCAATGCCTTTTTATCAAAATCCCAACAAGGTTTTAATTTTTTTTTAACTTGACAAGATGATTTTAAAATGACTGTGAAGAAGCAAAGGGCCATAGACAGCCAAGGTTCTCCTGAAGGACACAGGCCCGGGATCTTCTGCTGCAGTTCATCCAGATGGAGTGTCTTGATGCTAACTGTGAAGGATGGGCCGGAAGGTGCCGGGCTGATACAGGAAGGGTTGGAAGAGAGACCAGGGAGCGCCGGAGTGGACCTGTGAGGACTTTGCTCTGCTAGAGGAGGCCCTTTGTGAGTTCATCATTCATATGGGAAAACATGACCAGATCCTTATTTTAATACCAGGCACAAAAGTCAAGTCACTAGTGGATCAAATGTGAGAACATGAAAGGCAAGCTGTGATTCTCAAACATTACCATCAAAGAACAGCTTTGAGGCCCCAGTGTAAGGAAGGAGTTCTAAATGTTAAGAAGAGCAAATTACAAACAAAAACACTGATAATGTTCATTGAAAGGTAAGAGTGAAGGTGAAGATACTTGCAACACAAGGAACAGTCAGGACTTAAAACATGGACAGACCTCAGTCAAACCCATAGGTGAAAGTGTGCAAAGGAAGGTGGTGGTGAGGGGACAGTCTGGGAAGGGAGGAGGCCTGAAGGACCTGCAAGCAAACATCCACACTTGCATAGCTGCCCTGCAGAGGGAGGAGCTGCGATAGCCTTGGGGACATCAAGGTGGGGACATCAACCACCAGGTGAGCCCCGAGCTCCCACACATTGGTCGTGCCTCCACAGTCTGGGAGTGTGAGGTGGCCGACACCAGGAGACCCTTCTGGCCCCACTTGATGAGTGGCTTCATTTTGGCTCAGAAAGCCCTTTCCAAGACTGGCTGTGGCCAGGAGTATGGAGAGGTTCTCAGCAGTGTCCTCTCCTGTCCCTTTCCCGGGGACACCCTGCTAGGCCTTGCCCAGTGCTCGCCCTGGGCAGCAGGCCCCAGCACCGTCCGCCTGCCCAGGCTTCCGCTTTGTCTGGCTTTGCTGGTGCGAGGTAGCTTTTGGGTAGCTGCCTCTCCTGGCATGGGCACAGATCCCAGTGTGGCTCATGTGGCCCAGAGCATGCTAGCACTTCTCACCCCAGATGCCCAGAACTTCCTGAGGGCCTCTCAGAGCCCTACCCCACCTTCCTACAGGTGCCAAGCCAGCTTCCTCTGTTGATCCGTGGGGAGCTCCCCTCAGGGCCAGCACGCACTGTGTCTCCAAGAGCTCAGATTCCTGGGCCACCCCACAGCAGCCTGCCCCCGATGCCGAGAAAGCTGCTGGTGCCTGGGCTCCTGTCTCTGCTGCCGAGCCCACGTCTGCCCCTGGTGAGACTGTGCACTGCCTGGGCCCCAGGAGACCCTTTGGGCCCCACCACTCCCCTGTTGCAGCTCCTTGGCATGGGGCCTCTCAGTTTGCCTCTGCTTGCCACCCTCCCCTGCAGCGTCTGTCTCTGTCCTCCCTGCCCCTCATGCAGCGCAGCCAGTATGTGGAGTGAGTGAGCTCACAGGTTGTCTGGGCATTCGTACCTCCCTCCGGGGCTGGCTGCCCTCCAGATGCTCTTCCAGTCACTTCCTTCAGGCCTCTCCCAGTGTCACAAAGTGTCCAGACCTTACTCAGATGTGTCTTCTAGTGTCCAGTGTCCAGACCCCACTCAGATGTGTCTTCTCCACCATTAGACCTCCTTTAGTTTCAGGGGGGCGTGGTGGGAGCATTGGCAGGCAAGCATCCCAGTCTGTGCACTGAGAAGCCAAGGTCCCTGGCCTGGTCCCCCCTCTCCCCGGCCCAGTTCCAGCCCACCAGCTAACCCTGAACTGAGCTGCTCCTTGCTCTCAGCACCCTCCCCCAGAAGGTGGGGGAGAGCTCTGCCTCCGCTGTCCGTTGCGGTGTTGCATGCTGGCCCACCCGAGGGCGTAGACTGGGTAGTACAACGTGGAGAAGCCATGAGGTCCCCACAGTCACTGTCTCTTGTGTTTCCCAGGGACCTTTGATCTCTTCAGTAATCTGAATGGAACAGTTAAAGATGACTTTTCTGAATTTGACAAACTCCGAACTTCAAAAAAAACAGGTATGTAAAGGTGGTTCCCGTAAGTTCCGTGCATTTTATTGCAGAAATAATAATCAACTTTTAAAACCTGTCAACTTCATTTTCCTTGCGTTTTGACCTTGGGAGCCATGTCTCATGGTGTAGATTCACACATAAACAGTGAAGGGCCACGCAGTTGAGTTTTCTTTCACCCTCTCCCTGTGCTGGCCCCGGGCTGGACCCCGTGTCCCCCCTCTGGCTCACCTGTGTGTTTTGGCCTCAACTACTCCCCCGCACCAGGACTCGTGACCTCCCTGTCCCCTGCCCCTGCCCCAGCCCAGCGTGGCCCCCCACCTCCAGGTCTGAACTGCGGTTGCCATGTACTTTCGTCCTCTCAACTTCCCTCCCCCCAGAGGTGCCAGCTTTTCCAGACTGCCCCTGCCGTGGGCATTGGTGGGTCATCTGTGCCCCACTTCCTCACCTTGTGTGGCTCCTGCTCAGCTGCCGTCCAGGAGACCCACGGTTAAGTCTCCAGGACCAGCTCCTCCCTGTGTGCTCCTGGGCTGGGAGGGGCCAGGATAGGGGTACAGCCAGGCAGCCCCTGCCCATCTCAGGTTGCACCTCCTAGTCAAACAAAGAAACTTCTCTTTTTTCTTTCCTCCCTCTGCTTCTCCCCACTCTCCACCTCCTCCCCCCACCGCCTCCACCTTTCCCCCTGCTGCAGCCACAGGCCTGGCTGGCCCTGGTCTAAGGTATGAGCAGCCTGGCCCCTCTCAGCTAAGGGGATCAGAGGCAACTCAGAATGTGCTGCTTCTTGGGGTCTTTTTTTTTTTTCTGTATTCAAAAAGTGGCAGGACTCCATGGGTCTCCTCTGCAGGCCACAGTGCAACCTAACTGTCCTTCCTTGCCCGTCCTTGGTGCCTCCTTGAGAGGGTGGCATGGCTTATGTGGATAGCCTTCCGGGGACTTGCAAAGTATTTTCTCCCATTCTAGGAGTATTCCCCCTGTAGAAAATCTGGAAGTTTATGGGAGAAAATGAAAATCTGTGATTCTTTCTCCTACTTTCAGCCAGTGTTTCCTTCTGGTTTTTTTTCTTAAATACAGTGTGGCTCCCGGCTGGTGTGGCTCAGCGGACTAAGTGCCGGCCTGCGAACCAAAGGGTCACCAGTTTGATTCCCAGTCAGGGCACATGCCTGGGTTTCAGGCCAGGTCCCCAGTAGGGGGCACGTGAGAGGCAACCACACATTGATGTTTCTCTCCCTCTCTCTCTCTCCTTTCCCCGCTTTCTGAAAATAAATAAAATCTTTTTAAAAATTACAAAATAAATGGTTCTCTTTTAAAAAAATACTGTTTGGCTCCTCCTGTCATAATTGAATCCTGCGCCCCACCCTCTTTATGGAATAACAAATTGAAAATGTTTTCTCATAACATTAAAAATTCTTTAGAAAATATTTTACATTTACATAGAATGTATTGCTCAGCAATATTTATTATTTAATTTTGGGGAGGACGTTTTAGGTTGATTTTAAGTTTTGCTAAAGCAAATAATGCTGTGGTGAACATCTTTGTGTTTAAATCCATGTTCATGTATTGCATTACGTCCTGAAGTTAGAGTCCTAGAAATGGGGTTACTGGGTGGAGAGCGTGACCATTCTCCAGAACCTCTGTGCCACGGGGCCACCACGCATCTTGGCACAGCATCGCCTTCCCACCAGCCCATCTCAGCACACCCTTTGCTGGATGAATTTTAAAAAATAATTTGCTTTCTTCTAACTATCAAGAAACTCATGTTCATTGTAAATAATTTAGAAAATGAAAACGTTAAAAATTATAAGTTACTTACCTGTGCCTAGCCACGAACCCAAAATAACATCTTACCATGTTTGGAGGGTTGTGCTGTCCATACTGTTCAGTCTGGCGTCTTCATTTGAAATGTTGGTACAGTCTCTTTCCTCCTCATCTGGCCTTCTCCGCCTCTGCATCTGGGGCTTGGCCGTGACCTGCTTTGTGGCCAACTATTTGTCTCCAGCTTGAGGCTGTTGCAAGCAACACTGCAATGAACATTGCCCACACCACCATCCCCCTGCCCTCGGTACAGCCAGTCGGGGAACTGTGGGTCCGGGAATGTCTGTGCTGTGCTCGGGGTGCTTCCAGGGTTGGCGGGCAGCATTGGGCACAGTCTCGGGGCCCACTCTCCTTACCCTCCATGCCCGTTTGTGTCCTTGTCTTGTAGCTGAGGCGGTGGCCTCTCTGCCATCCCCCCAAAATGGAGCTACAAGCCCCGACCCCTTTGAGTCTCAGCCCCTGACCATCACCTCCAGCAAGCCCAGCAGCACCCGGAAAACGCCAGAGTCTTTCCTGGGCCCCAACGCAGCCCTGGTGAACCTGGACTCGCTGGTGACCAGGCCAGCCCTGCCAGCCCAGTCCCTCAACCCTTTCCTGGCACCAGGTACGTGGGCTTCCCAGCGCTTCCTCTGCTTTTTCTCTTCCTGGGAGTGGGTTTGAGGCAGGCCTCTCTCCTCTACCTCTGTGAGCTCCTCCCACGGAGCCCCTCAGGTGAGCACTGTGCTCAGGGGCATGCCCAGCCCCTGGGAGCCGGCCGGACCAGGGACAGCACTTCAAGCTCTCCAGGGCCTTGATGAGTCAAGTGTGGAAGCTGCTATTCAAGGGGGGAGTGAAAGGCAGCCCTTCCCCTTTCTTTCAGTTGAGATCGCTGAGCAGAAGCTACCTCTGATTTGGTGCCCCCACCAGGGAGACCCTCAAGCAAGCGAGCAATAGCCCTGGGTCTTCTGAAGGAGGGTGGTGCTGGGGTGAAGGAGAGCAGAGTCTGCTGCCCAGCAGCCCCCGGCAGGGGGAACGGAACTTGGCCCTTAGTGGGTGCCCCCAGACTCTCTGGAGCCAGGCACTAATGGATCAAATGTTATCCTGGGGCCAGGAAATCCATTCTCCCTGCTGGGGTTCTGTCTAAAGACCTGCCCTCCACCCTTAGGCTCTGTAGGGACTGGCAGGTGAACCCCCAGGCCCTGCTTTAGTTCCCCGGGCACCGTAGCCCAGCCCCACCTCCCCCCTCCCTGGGCGCTCAGACCCACAGCTCTGGCTCCGTATATCCCTTATCCCCTCTGCCTGGAGCACCCTCCCCTGTTCAGTGGGAGACCTTCTAACCTTTGGCACCCACCCCAGACAACCTCTTCCTCTAGGAAGCTTCCCGCCTTCCAGCAAGGCTTTGGGGACCTGGAGCAGAATTGGCCCTGAATTGGGTGAGGATATAGTGGCCCATAGGGCAGGGGCTCCCGGGCTTCTAAGCCAGCATGGAGACCCTGTCCCTGCCCCAGAAGGGCTCCAGCTGCCTCTGCCTACAGAGCCCTGGGGGCTCCACAGGAGTTCTTTGGGTAGGGGGTACGTGAGGGTCTTAAGGCAGCTCTGCTGCCTACGAGCAGGTCATGGTCCCTGGGGGCTGCAGCCAAGATGGAGGTTTAGTTGGCTCTTCTGGACCTCCCCGGCCACACGGTTAGCTCTGGACTACAGCCATTTGTTGGGTTCTGGCTCTAACCCTTCTAAGCTGGGGGTGCCTCAAGTAAGTCACTGTCCTGCTCCCTAGTCTCAATTGGGTCTTTTCTGCCTGGGGGTGGTCTGCTGGAGGAGGGGCTGAAGCAGGAGCGTCAGGCATGTGCTCTGCGCTGCAGCTAGAGAACAGCAGCTGGTGGTGACCTGTCAGGGTATCCCTGCGGTCAGCACCAGGGAGTGGGAGCCGGGCTGTGCTGGGGACTCGGTGATGCCAGGCCCTGCATTTTTGGACAGATATCTATAGGAGTCTTTGCTAAAAGAGGGAAGAGAGTTTCTGGTGTGAGATAAATTCTCAAAATACTGGGTAAGAGAGAGCTGTGTGTGCTTTGTGACTGCTGGACTTCTCAGAGCCCTTGGGGTTCCAGGGCACAGTGCGGGCTACTGTTCCTGTCTCCCCCTTTGCTTTCCCCTCTTTCGAGTACCTTGTCACAGCCCTGCCAATGGAATAAGGGGGCAGTGCCAGATGCTGGCTGCAGCAGGGACCCTGGTTGCCAGCCCTGAGGGGGAGCCGGGGCCCTCAGAGCCGGGCACTTTCCTGGCCCTGCCTTGTGTGGTCTTTGTGACCCTGGACAAGTCACTTGGCTTCTCCGAGTGCCAGGCTTTGTTCTCCTCATCTGGACAGTGGGCAGGCCTGGAGGAAGCAGGCTGTCTGCCGTGTGTCAGCTGGTGCTGCTGCAGGCTCTGCGGCATAGCAGGGACCTGAACATACCTGCCCTCTGACTTGGGGCGGGACGTTGTTGTGACTAACCACTGTCCCTCTTGCTGTCTCCCCAGGTGCATCTGCGGCATCGGGCCCTGTCAACCCCTTTCAGGTGAACCAGCCTCAGCCACTCACACTGAACCAGCTTCGAGGGAGCCCAGTCCTGGGGACCAGCCTGTCCTTTGGGCCTGGCCCAGGTGTGGAGCCCCCGGCCATGGTCTCCATGACCCCCACAGCCTCACACCCAGCTCTAGGGCCCAGCAGTGCCTCCCTGACGCCACTGGGCCCCGCCACCATGAGCATGGTGGGCAGTGTGGGCATCCCCCCATCAGCGGCTCAGGCTCCTGGCACCACCAACCCTTTCCTTCTCTAGGGCCCAGGCCTGGGGCCACCACAGAGCAGGTGCCCTGAGAACCTGTGCCCGAGGCCACTGAGCAGGGACTCGCCTTCGCGGAGTGGTGTCCAAGAGGTGGGGATGGGTGCTGGGGCTTTCCAGGTGCAGCTTCCTGATGGAAGGGTTGTCTTTACTCCCCAGTTGTCAGGCTGGAGCAGGGAGGGCTCACTGAGAGGACAGGCCCAGCACGTGGCTTTACACCTGGTGGCCTGCTTGCCCATCCCCAGCCTGCAGCCACGTGACAGGGAAGCGCCTGGGCAGGCCCCGCCACCCTCAGCCCCTTCTTCCAAATGCAGGGTTCTGGCTGCTATGGGGCTCGGGATCCCCAGTGTCGCCCTTGCCCTTAGCCTCAGCCAGAGGGCCTTGGAGGCACTGCTGGCCCAGGAACTGGGATGGCCGCCTTGTGTTTGTCCTTCACCCCAGCCCTGCCGACACCCCAGGCAGTCCCAGGAGTGGTGGGAATGAGGTGTTGGCTCCATTACACGCTGACCTTCTATGGAAGTGGTTGTGCAGAGTTGCCTCTGACTCATGTGAGTTAGGGGTGAGCGCCACCGCCATGGGACGACTCTTGAATTAAACCCACTAGAGCAAGCTTTAAACTAATCGGAGCATAACCCTGCCACGTGGCTCTGTGCTTGTATGCATTTGCACAGATTTTGTTTAGTGCAGTTTCATATTTGAGTTTGCAGAATTATCTAATAGTCTTTTTTTGGCTAATATTTTTATAACGTGGTTCTTATTTAACTGTCTAATTTTGATAGAATTTACCAGGACTGGCTGAATGAAGATATTGGAATATATCATGTTCATAGTTTAAATTCTCTTATTTATGGTTTTAACTCTAAGGAAATTTAAATAGGAAGAGACAAAAAAGCCTTATGGAAAAACTAAAGCAAATTATAGGGAAAAACGAGAATTTGATTACACTTAAAAGATGTTTATTTAAAAAAACTACAACAAAAAACTCTAGCCTCCAGTTGCCTTTTCCTTCAATTCCCTTATTTGGTGAATTACCAAACTGATTGACTTCCAGCCTTTCTGGCTAGATGCTAAGAAAGAGGCTATTTTTCTTACTAATACACCAGCATCAAGAAAGTTGAAAAATCTGATGTGTGAATGTGACTCACCACTTTTCATCCGAGAGGCCCACCATTCACCGTGCAGTTGTGAATGGAAGAGACATATGTCCGGCACCTCCGGCGATGGGCCTCCTGTGTGCTGGCCCACGCCCGGGGCGCAGGTGAGGACACAGGTGTCCAGGGGCAACGCAGTTCTTTGCCCCTGGCTCCTGCAGGTCTCCCGGCTGAGACGGGGTGAGGGAGCAGGGCTGGCCCTGACCCACCCCCTGCTGACTTGACACACCCTGCAGACCTAAAAGTTATCATCTCTTACTTTGGAGAGGAAGAAAAACATCATTCTCACACAAAATAGATATTTAACAAACATGCACTAATATTACCTCTCTCTCCCTACTTCCTGCTCTCTTCACCCCACCCACCACTATAAAAAAAAGTATTAGGTCATGAATTAAAGACCAGAAAAGACTTGCTTACCCCCAGGGAAGGGACTTTCTCCCTTCAAACCATGTGTCTGGTCAGCTTGCTTCACATGGCACTGAGGATTTCTTAACCCTAACCCCAAGGGCAGCTGACCACTCCCTTTGGGCGGGAACAGGGCCCCTCCACCCCTCAGGTTCTAGGAGGGGGTCTGACCCTCAGCACCGGGCACAGGAGAGGTAGAGAATGCCGGGAGGCGTGCAGGTTGGTTCAGAACTACCCTCTTAGGCCCCCCTCCTGTGTCCTCCTCCCCACTCCGGTGTTGCTCCCTGAGGTCTCTTGGGGCCACCCACTGGGGGCTCCGAAGGCCACATCTGGCACCTCCAGCCTGGGCGTAGGCAGAGCAGGTAGACTGGGGCAGGGTGCTTCCCCACGGGGTGTGCTTGGCCATTCCTGGGTCAGTGGTTCTTTGTAACAGTCAGAAGCTCCTCCTGCAGTGCAGCTGCCAGGTCACCAAGGCCCACAGACTCCCGCCTTGCACACAGGCTGGTCCTTGGGCACCTCATCCACGTTGCCTGCTGCACTGAGCGTGAAGCCACCAGCCACTGCCACGAGTGCTGTGCACATGCCATCATGCTGCCTCCTGGTGGGCACTGGGACAGGGGTGTCACCCAGCCATTTTTTCAGTCCCAGGGGCTGGTAGCTGGTTTTGAACTTGTGTTGACTATTGATATTTACTTGTATAAATATAATTTATCATTTGTACCATGACATGGTCTCCGTATGTCCTTCCCCTCACCCTACCTTTACCAGTCTGGGGACACAGGAGAGGGGTGAGCAGGCAAGGGAGTGGGTCCCGCCTAGGACCCAGCCTGGCCTGTGACTGGCAGGCCACTGGTTTTGTCCTGATGCCCAAGTAAGTGAGCCTCCACATGTCAAGGGAGGAGAGCAGCCCTGCCAGCCCATGCATTCTTGAGACAGTGACTGTCACAGCTGCTGGTTCTCTGGCAGCTGTGCAGCTTTACTCTGGCGTGGTACAGGAACCCTGTCCCCTTGGAACCTGTGGTCGGAGGAGGAGCTGCAACTGGAGGACAGGCCCCTTCGGGCGCGGGTGGGAGAGGCGTTGCACTGTTGGGCAGTTTGAGACGGAGGCAACGCTGGGTGGAGGAGGTGGGTGGCAAGGCTGTGAGGAGGCAGGCCAGTGCTCATGGCCAGTCTGTCCCAGCAGGCCCTCTGGTCACCACATACTTCTCTCTTCCTCACACATGGATCACGTATGTCCTCCTAAGGGAGACATGCTTGAGCCCCATCTGGACAGTAACCTACAGGGTCATGAGTGAGGACAGGTGGTGGTCATCTGTCACCCAGCAGTGAAGCTTCCCATGAGGATAAGGAGGACATACATGGTTCTGCATTTCCAGGCTGCCTCCCCTGCGCTTCCTTTGCCCTAACGTGGGAGGGCCACCCTGTGGGTCAGACACTTACCTGCCGCAAGAGCTTTTACCGGGCCTTTATGGCTCAAAGCATTCTTCAATTTTACTCCTTCCCCTATGAGTTCCAGAAAGTTTCCTTTTCCAGTCTTTTGATGCCAAACATGTTTGGATTCTCCTTCTTTTTTGTCATCTCTGCTTGCACACTGGCCAGCTCTTTCCTGGGCTCGTCATCTCTTTCCTGTGGCAGCGTCCACAGCAGCAGCCCCCGCCCCCGAGCTTCGGGCTCAACGGGCACAGAGCCTGCTGGGGCAGCACAGCTGTGCCCCCTCCCCTGCCCTCCAGCGCTAAGACAGGGCACATGGGTTTGTTTTGTTTCCTTTTGGTTATAGCCGAAACCCATTCCTGATACCAGCTTCCATGCTGGAACAGAATAGGTGCCATGGGAACAAACCCCAAACTCTGTGTGGTGAATGCAGGAGGTTTTTCCCAGCATGCCCAGTGGGGGCGTCCTGGCAGCTCCTGTGTGGTGTGCCACGTTCCACAGCTGACCTTGGATGCTGTGCGGAAGAGGGAGAAGGGGTGCTCGGGAGGTTTTACATGGGTCAGATCCCCATGCAGCAAGCATCCTTTCAACCTGCAGTTTTCTTAGCCTGCTAGTCACACGGACCCACTTAGATACAAGGGGCCTGGGAAAGGCAGTCTTCTCACAAAAACAGGAGAAAATGGAAGTGGTCTGGGGACACAGAGCCTTGTCACAGTGGCAGCACAGTGAGCAGCCAGGGTGGGCTTGGGGGCCATCTACCCTGGTCTTCATGTAGATCAGGGCTGTCAAACTCATTTTCATGGGGACTACATCAGCCTCATGGTTGCCTTCAAAGGGCCGAATGGAATTTCAACTCCTTAACAGTTAAGGAGTAGTTACATTTACACAGTCCTAAAATTATTTTGGCTCTTTGAAAGCAACTGCAAGGTTGATGTGGCCCCCGTGAAAATGAGTTTGACACTCCTGGTGTAGAGGGCCACAGAAGCCCACTCTGCTCCCCTTGGCCTGGTACAAGCCAGGCCCTCCCTGCCACCAGGAGCTTCCTGAGTGACGGCCGTGCCCTGCTCCTGCCGGGGCCTGGGCATGCACTGGCCCAGACTGTGTGCACTGTGCTTTTAAGCATTTCATTGTATGCAAATGTTCCCTCAGAAGAAAAAATACCTAAAAACAAACATCAACACCTCTAGCAATTAGCATGCTGAAGTATGTGGGAGGTGTGGTGACGTCTGCAATGTATTTTGAAATGTGCTAAAAATAGGGTTAGAATGAGTTGGGCAGATGTGAAAACACTGGACAAGGGTCATGGTGAACCCCAGGTGGCTGGCATATGGGTGTTCACTGTAAAAGGGTTTTTATTTTTGTTTTTCACCTATGAAAACAACTAGAACATGAATCATAGTAAGAGGGTTAACTGCTATGACAAACTTGCTGATAGACCAGCGCCTGCAGCCACCTGGGCCCGGATGGGGGGAGGAAGTGGGCCGAGAACTCAGTCATCTGTGAGGCTGCAGCAGGATGAAGCAGAGATGGAAAAGCAGGTCCAGGGTTTTTTGCTGTATGGTTGCTTCATCACGCGAGAGCCCTTGTGGAGGCTGATGGCAGTGGTCCTGCAGAGAAGAGCATGGGGCGGGGCAGTGACAGTGACAACCCCTCCCCGTGGGAAGGCAGCAGCTACGGGACCACCAGAGTGGCCTCCGATAGGGCCCTGGCATCTCCGGAGTAAAGGCTGGTTGGTGACAGATGCGGTGGAAAGGTAGGGAGCTCTCATTTTACCACTTCCTCAAGAGCCCTTCAGGGGAGGGGCACAGGGGCTGAAGGTTCTCGAGGAGGAAAGGGTGAGTGGGTTTTCTCTGCATGCGTGAGGGGTTGAAGAAGGAAATCTGGGCAATGGCCCAGCAGCACTTTGAGGGAGACCTGGCTATGGTCACAGTGGGGGTGGTCCTCAACGCTGGATGCTGGACCAGGCCCTGGCCCTCAGCGAGTGGCACTCAGACTGGCCAGGTAGGAGTATAGCACGGGACAGGCCTGGGAGCGGAGGATAACTGAAGGTGCTGCTGTAGGTCTGCTCGTGAGCCGTGGCTATGCCGGACCGAAGTCAGCCCCACTTATAACTGATCATCTGACTTGTCAGAATGTCCTGCTTACCTGAGAGTGGGCCTACACAGAGCCTTTCACCTCCTGCACCATGAGAACTCTTCACACACACAGTGCCTGTGTAGTCAGGGCCACTGACCTCTTTCACTCAGATCGTCAAACAGAAGAGTGACAGGTCTCACAGCAATAGCCATCAGTGTGGATGACTCAAAATTGTACCTATTTTTTTTTTTTTGTCAAATCAGCAAAAATCATATTTTTGGGCGTGCCTCAGAATTTCAGTGATCAGTTTCTGTGGGCTGTGAGGTGAACAGGGGTGAAGCTGCCGTGTTATAAGAACAGGGCTGCTATGCTCTCCTCTCTGTGCAAACGGATGGGACGCCAGACAGCACCTTGGTTAAACAGCAAGGAGAATCCATAGCTGTCCCGGGGCTCAAGGCCTGCGTGTGCGCAAGGTCGCTCACTCCCTTTGAAACTGCTAGAACAGCTTGTCCAAGACCCTGGCTGTTTAGAATCTAGCCAAATGGTGGATTTATATGCTCTTTACTGGATATCCTTGTATTACTGGATCATCAGAATATACGTTATATCCACTGTAAAGAGCTTTATTTGTGCTTCTGGAAATAAAACCCACTCTGAAGTCTGTCTGTCCTTTCCCCATCACACAGGACCCGTGCCATGCACGTAGGTCAGAATGAGATGGCGGTCAGCACTCAGTGACTTGTCCCTACCAGGGTCTCATACCACCTACCACGAGAATTAGTTGTCGCTCTGATGTGTTAGTACAGTGACCTGCACAGGACAACCTGATGACGTATTCCTCAAAAGATGGCCCCGTGTACAACAGCGAGGCTCTGGGGAGAGCCTAGGTCCCCTGGAAGGCGGCTGGAAAGCTTCCACTGAGTCTAAACTCAGCCAGCCGACAGCTCACAATGGAAGGCATTTTTCTAGGAGCACAGAGAAAAGCTGGTTTCAGATGACTCTCCTGTCATCTGGGTAACACATCTGTGGCCCTATTGGAAAACAGAGAGAAGGTGCATTCCTGATCTTGAATTCTAAATTGGGCGGGATGGGGAAGAAAGGACTGACAGTGTGGAGGGAGTTGGCTGGCAGCTCAGAGGCCCTGATGGAGCACAGTGTTGGAGCAGAGACCAAAGGAAAGGAGCACACAGGGAGGGGAGGGTCTGGGGGAGGGACGCTTCGATGCACATTTTAGAGACCATTAGTCATTGGTCATAAGGCCCTGACCATGGCAGCTACTGAGGGGCATAGGTCAAGTTCATTGCAAGGGAGGAGGCTGAGGAAGAAGCCAAGCTGTGGGAAGGATCACCCACATGGTCAGTGATGTTGTTCTGCACGGATGCCCGGAGGTGGGGACAAGCCTGTCTTTAGTGGACACCCGCAGTGTGGTCTGATGGGTGTCGAGGGCCCTGGGCTGGGGTGCCCATGGGGAGGAAGACACAAGCCCCATCTCCAAGCTCTGGTACGTGGTGTGTGGGAGTGGGGTGGCAGGTTGCAGGGGACAGTGTCTCAGTAGTGGCCAACAGGGTGGAGGGGTGCTTCCCATCCAGGAGGGTTGGGATCACAGGAATTTGGCTGAAGGCTCTGAGTTTCAGAGCACCCAGAGTTGGGGACAAGAGATGGGGGTCCCCTGAGCAGTTAAATTTCCAGTGCTGAGAACCAAGATAAAGGACAGAACAGGGTCATTTTCTGTGGCCTCTTAGAACAAGTTCAGATTCCTTCCAGCCTCTATGGCAGTGTGTGGGGTGGGGGTTAGTGGTCTTCCAGCCAGGAGGTGGGGGCTGACGAACTAAAGCAGGTGCTTGGTGGCACCCCTTAAATCCCGGCGGTGTGCAAACTGTGTCCCCCTTGAGGGTTCACCTGAAGCTGTGCATGGGAGGGGAGAGGGACAGATGCTGCCTCTGCAGGGCCAGGGATGTGTGGGGAGAAGGTGCGAAGCCCTGTTCGCAGGCCTCGGGCAGAGGGAGAGGAGTTCAGGGTGCCGGGCAGCCTCGCTCCCCTTCGTCTCCTGCTGTGGGACTTGGCGGGAAGCTGGAATTCCAGCAGGTCACAATGGGGGAGACTTTTAGCCCCATTCTCAGGGCTGCAGAGTAGGGGGCGGGCAGAGGGCTAGAGAGCCAGCTGGGTGCCTCTCCATCCACCTCCTGCCAACAGGATGTTCTCCTGGTTGCTGAGGGAGGATGGTGGTCAGGAGCCACACCAGGATGACAAATGCTTCCATCTCCAGGAAGTGCCTGGGACCAGAAGTGTGAGACACAAGGTCCCAAAGGGGAAAGGAGGCAGCCCAGACTTGGGTTCTGTGACAACGCAACCATTTATTTTATAAAAATACCACCTCCCTGCCTCAGCTGCACTTGAGTCAGGCTTGTGGACTAGTGGTCAGCCCAGCTAGCTCACTGGGTGGTGGAGGAGCCAACACCTTCACTGAGGGATGCCCTGGGGCAAGCCTTGCTCCTCAGCCCTCAGCATGTCTGCCGGCCCAGTGTCATAGCCCAGCTTCTTCATGTCCTTGGTCACCACGTTGAAGAGGAGAGTGACAAAGCCCTGGGAGCGGACGCGGGTCACTAGGGATAGAAGGGAGCGTCAAAGGCTGGGGCAGGAATGGCCAGGCTGCTCTGGGGATCTGTTCCCAGGGGTGTCTCCTGTGAAACAGGGATGTCAGGGCCTGGCCTGCACTGGCTGGGAAGGGGAGGGTCTGTTCTGGGGCAGACAGACAAGGCAGACCCCCCCATGCTCCAGCCATGCCTGTTCCCAGGTGATGCTCTGAGAAACTCCTGGCCCTGTTGCTGCAGCCTGGGCTTCCTGGCACCCATCACGTCTGTCTCCTGGGGGTTCGCCCAGTCCCTCCCAGGCTCCCACCAGTCTGGGAGGGGGGGTGGGGGCTCCAGCTTTACCTTCCCGGCCTTCACCTTGAGCCACCACCTTGGGGTCTGTGTACTCAGGCCGCCGCCCCATGAACCAGCTGGGAAGACAGAGCAGGTGAATTCAGCCATGACCCGGGGACCCCACAGATAGACACTAAGCATGGGCTCTCTCCTGCGTCGGGAACAGGCAGCTCCCCTGCCCCCCGCCCCCCATCCCCAGGCCGGACCCTGCAAAGAGGCTTCCCCCAGCACCCTCCCTCTGCCTGTCCAAGGCCAGGCGAGGCGGACAGAGGTGGTGTCTGTCAGGAGGCCTGTGTGGGTCCCTGAAACTCCCCCACACACCCCCAGCTGGACACCAGCTTTCCATCACAGCCAGTCCTCCCTGGCCTTGATTCACCAGGAGTGAGGGACAAGGAGACTTGGGGCTGGAGGGGGCAGATGCACATCCTGAACCCAGCCGGCAATACCAGACAGGATGGCAGCTGAGGTGGGGGGGGTGCGAGACCTGGAGCCAGTGTGGTTCCCGCCCCCCATGCTCATGGGCCCCATTGGGAGAAGGCCCCGTCCCAGACTCCATCAAAAGGGGCCACATCTCAGGCTTCCACTGTGCTCTTAATAGTGTGAGATCCAGGACAAGTTACTTCTCTGAACCCCATCTCTGAACCCTAATATTCTTGATACTAAGGGTACCTACCTCATGGGCTCTGAGGTGGAGGTACTTTGTCAACTGCCACAGAAAGTATGAGCCTCACTATCTGGATTCTTACTCCAGGGCACACCAAGGACAGGCCTGCTCTGTGTGACCAACACCAGGCCCCGCACCAACCATAGTGCCCTGGCTCCCCTGACATCTCCCTTCCCCTCCAGGAGCCCATGGAGGCCACTGGTCACAAGGGCCCCCTGTGCCTCTGGGCCTCCCTGCTGTCCCCACCCGTCTGGCTCCGGCTCCAGCCCCAGGGAGCTGGGCAGCTCCCTCTGGAGCACGGCCTGGCCTCTGACACACCCACTGAGCTAGAAACAAACGTGGGGCACCATTCCCAGCTGGTCGGGTCAGGCAGATTCGGGCTTTGTCCCCAGGCCACCTGCTCTGGGAATTACAGGGGCAGTGCAGGTGGGCCCCTGGGTGGGCCGGGGGCCTCCCATGTGAAGGAGCGAGCCTGGCACGACCCCAATGAGGCACAAAGAGTGGCTGCAGCCACTACCGGTGGGCTGAGGCAGGAGAAGAGGCAGATTTCTTAAGGGACAGTGTTCCAGGTGAAGAACAAAGCAGGGAAAGACCTGGCAGGCTGGGGAAACTGAGGCCAGAGAGAGGTGAGTGGGGAGAGGGCACGAGGTCAGGGAGGCCGAGAACACGGGTCCTGGAAACCTCACTGAAGTTAACCTCAAACAGAGATATGCCTAAGTAATTTCTAAAGTGTTTTGGGAAAACCTTTTTTGTTGCTGTGTGAAGAGGTACTGTCATAGGCTGAATAATGGCCCCAAAGATGCCAGATCCCAGTTCCCAGAACCTACGAATGTGACCTTACTTGGAAAAAAAAGGTTTTTGCACATGTGATTCAGGCAAGGCTATCAACCTGGGAAGATTACCTTGGATCATCCAGGTGCACCTTAAATGCCACCAGAAATGTCCGTAGGAGAGGCAGGTGCCATGTGACCACAGAGACAGAGAGGCAGTGGTGTGGCCACAAGCCAGGGAGGCCGTGGACACCAGAGGCTGTGGGGGGTGCTCCCCTGGAGTCTGGAAGAGGGGTATGGCCCTGCACACCTCAGTTATAGCCCAGCAGTGCTGGCTTTGCACTTCTGCTTTTAGAACTGAGAGGAAATCACTTTGTTGTTTTAAGCCATCAAGTGTGTGTTAGGTGTTATGGTGGCCACAGCCAAGGCAAACTGACCCCGCACAAAGGACCCCTGGGGCGGCAGTGGGACAACAGAGAAGGGGGAAGGGCAGGGACTGTGCCCTGAGCAGAGGGGGCAGCTGGAGCCAGCTACCCCATGGCCTCCAGGGACCCTTGTCCGGGGAGATTCTGTCACCAAACTGCCTTCACTCACCAGACCTCTCCCCAGTGTCTGCGACCCAAGCACATTCGGCCTAGCCCAGGTGAGAGCTGCCCCGAGGCATTGGCAATAACCTGGACCGCTCTGTAGGCTGCTAGGTCTGACTTCCTCAACAAGAGAGTCCTTTCCTCGGGGGAAGCCCAAAAGCCTTCCCTCCGAGCTGGAGGGCTCCGGGCCAGGGTGGCCAAGGGGACTCCCACGGGCCTAACCCCCCCACCCCACCAGACAGGCACTGCCCCTGCTTCCCCAGCAGCCCCGTGGGATGGAGGCTGTCACCTCCAGTTTATGCTGGCCCAGGGCATCCAGCTAATAGGCCCCTTCCCATTAGGGTGGCCTCTCAGAGGGGCTACTAGGGACATAGGGCATTCAAATTGTCCCCTCCCAGGTCTCACAGCTTGGTAAGGCTTCCTCAGTTCAGGCCCAGCACTGCCCCCTGCCCAGGTCTCTCCCTTATACTGGCCAGGCCTGCACAGGTTCTGGCAGCTGCTGCCCTGGAACTGGGGGCCCTTCTCTTTCCCCTTATCTAGCCGTTTCTGGCTGACCTACGGGGGGAGGAGCAGTGGCTTGCAGCCCTGGATCAGTCAGCCAGAGCCTGGCTGGCCCTTCCGCTGCTACTTGTGTGTGGTGAGAGGCAAAAGGCCCGAGGCTCTGTCTTACCTGCCCCCTTCCCCCTTGCTCACCATATCCAAACCACACCCATCCCCGCTGCTCCTAACAGGGTAGGTTCACACTCTCCTGAGGGCCCCGAATCTGCTGTTCCCTGTGCCTGGGGCACTCTTCCAGGTTCCCAGCTGGCTCCTCACCAAAGCTTAGTCTCTGCTCAGATTCACCCTGGATTCACCCTCATGGCGGCTCCCAGGTGTGAAGGAGCTTACCACCTGACCATCAGAAGGCCCTGTTATGATCGCCACTGCCCTTCCAGGTTATTTGGCTCTTACTGCAGTACCCTCTTACATCCTACCATTTCAATGCCACGTGATGTCGTGAGCACATTCCACTCTGGGAAGCGTTTCTCTTCCATCCTGACACAAAGACTTAACGGCACAGAGTACAACTGCCTGGCCTTACGCTGCTCGAATGATGCCTGAGGGGAGGCCAGTTTCCCTCAGTAACTCCACAGAACTCATTTCCATTTGTTCCCCAAAGCAGCAGGAGCTTGAATACCTAATAGGATCACTGGCACAGTGAGGAGCGGATGCGACCTCCTTCTTTCCACTCTGACTACCTAGGTCAGAAAGCAGGGTTGGGGTGATGGGCAGAAGCCTCACCTTGTAAACTTTTGCAGTGTGGATGTAGATTCTGGGACAAACATGGGGATGGTCCTTTTGTGCCTGAAACAAATGTTTTTGCAGACATGTGCTCAGTAACAGGCGATGGAACTCTCTGTGCCGGGTGGGGCAAGGCCAACTAGGCTGGTTCTCTGACCACGCCCACACACCTGGGCTCAGCAGACGCTGTGGACCAGGCCCAACCTTGACAGCTCAGTCAAGGGTTTAGCTTCTTTTCAGGGATCGAAAGGATGTCAAAGGTCACAAACCTCAAAGGTAAGGTCCCAGCCCCCACTGTGTCCCTCAGAGAGACCTTGTCCTCTTCCAAATGTCCTAATGCTCTGCCATCTTTGAGGCCCAACTTGGATGCCCTTCCTCCAGGAAGCCTCTGACAAAGCCCTGGACCTACCCCCACTGTGGCCACCTGCCCAGTCCAGCCTCCTCCTCAGAGCCCGGGGTCCTGTTATTTCCCTCCAGGACCCTCTCTCCCAGGCATCCCGAACCTTTGGCTCTAACAGTGACTCAGCACAGATACACAGTCCATGGTTGCTCCTCTTCTTCCCCTTGTCTTCTCTGGATGGACATGTGTCCTTTAAGGCCGGTTGGCCTTGGCCCTCCTCTGGGCCCCAGAACACTCTGTCTATGACCTGTTAACTGCTTGGGAGAGCTGGGTCTCTGCCCCTAAGTGTGTGACTCTGGGGGCTCCTGAGGGCAGAGCCCCCATGGACACACATGACTGGCACACCTGTGTCCTGACACCAACAGAACTGGGCACGGGGCACTGGTGAGGGCTTGTGGGACATGGAAGGGAGGGGGAAGAGACGAAGGAACGGGTGTCAGAACCCTGGTTCCTGACTGCGTGGGACTCCCAGGATGGCCTGTCATGCCTCACTGGGGCCTCTGGCGCCCCCTCCTGGCCTGTGGTGCTTGGGTGGCAGCAGGAACCTCACCCACTTGGGTACCCTTCCACATATGAGCTGTGCCCTTACCAGTGAGGCATGTGCTAGGCTCCTGGAGCACCTAGCACATCCCAGGCCTAGAGGCAAAGTCTATCCCAGGGGAAGCCCTGCTGGGATTCCCAGGTCTCTGAGCCAGCATGGGGCCAGCATGAGGGGCAGGCTGTAGCTGGGACAGTGGGCCAGAGACCGTGGCAGGGAGGACCTACCTGCCAGGGGAGAAAGGCACATGCACTGCCCCGTAGCCTCGGACCACGTCATTCCCAAACACGTCTGGTCCATACACACTGAGCACAATCTGCGGCCCTGGAGAAGGACAAGGTGGGGCTCAGCATGTGGAAACCCAGGGAAGGTGTAGGGCACAGGAGAAAGAGGGTGCTCACAGCCCTCGGGACAGGGGCTTGCCAAAGCTGGGGAGACAGAGGACCCCATTTGCACCAAAGGCTTCTGCCAACTCAGGACCCGGGGGTGGGGTGAGGGAACCAGAACATGCTGGCCAGGCCCCTGGCTTGGCCCAGATGCCACGGGGGTCACAGAGCCAGGATGCTGCCCTGATTCTGTCATTAGACAAACACAGAAGTGTCTCCAGAGGTGCATTTCAAGGCACAGGACCAGCTATGAGCTGTGCCTGGAGCCTGCTCTTGGGAGCTTCCTTTCTGATGGAAGCAGTCAGATTTAAGCACATGACACCTGGGTGAGGGGCTGGTTTGAGGTTATCTGTGGGGAAGCTCAGAGAGAAAGCAAAGGCCCTCCACGCTCCCTCCTTTAAAACATCAACAATTACATCTGTTCTAGCAAGGCCTTTCGGGTCCTTTCCCCTCCATCTGGAGGTGTCCCCCCAGACGCAGGGAAGAGATCATTGCTCTAGGTGACAGGCCAGGCACTAGCTTCAGGCAACTCCCTCCTTCCGGCCTGCCCGCCCCCTCCTCTCTAGGCCACTCAAAAGTGGAAATCTGTATTCAGTAGGTGTCAGGGATGGTCTGCACACTTCCTGTAGCTCCCCATAAGGTAATCGCTGTTCTGAATTTTATGAAGCCACCTAAGATTTCACTGACAAAGAATGCAGCCCAAGCAAGTGGGTGCTTGGGTTCTATTCTCGTTTTTAGACTTTATATAAATGAAATCATGCAGTATATTTTTAATTCCACATATTTGTGAGACTCATTCAAGTTGTTTCACACACAGAGCTTGGCTTGTTCTCGGTACTGGACCACATCCATCCTCTGGACAGACAGCAGGACTTGGCCTGTCCCATGCTGACGCACACATGAGCTGTTCCTCCTCCAGGGCTGTCACAGATGCTGAAGCCAGGGACACTCTGCTCCTCTTGTACAAGCTCTGGTCACACATGTGCACTTGATTCTGTTAGGCATGTACCCACGGGAAGCACCAGGGTTTGCATACATTCAGTCTTAAAGGGTAACGAACACCCCACTCCTCTGCATCCTTGCTGGAGCTTGCTGTCTCCATATAATTTGAGCTGTTCGGGGGAGTGAATGGGCAGCTCACTTTAGCTTTAATTTTCATTTTCCTTGATTGTAATTGTTCTTACTAGAAACAGAGACCTTGTCCTGTTTCTCAGTCACTTGGAAGTACTTGCTAAAGTCTCTTGCCTCTTTTTCTTTCTCATGGATTCGTAATGTGTGTGAATTCTGTTGCTTGTCTTTTCACTCTTAATGCCTTTCCATGAACAGAAGCCATTAACTGTAACAGTCAAATCTATGGATGTTCTTTACAGTTTTCCCTACCCTGACATTGTGGCTCTTGTGTCCCAGGCTATCTTCCCGAGGCTAATTTTGTTTTTCACATTCACCTTTATATGCCCATTGGGGACTGACTTTTGTGGATGTGTACTGTAAAGTACAGATCAGGTTTCATTTTTCCCCCGTGCACATCCAGTTGTCCCAGCACCATTTATTAAAAAGACTCTCAAGCCTTGGCTGGTGTGGCTCAGTGGATTGAGCGCTGGCCTGCACACCAAAGGGTGGCTGGTTCAATTCCCAGTCAGGGCACATGCCTGGGTTGCAGGCCAGGTCCCCAGGACAGGATGCACGAGAGACAACCACACGCTGATGTTTCTCTCCATCGCTTTCTCCCTCCCTTCCCCTCTAAAAATAAAAAAATATTAAAAAAAAAGACTCCCAGATACACACAGAAAAATAAAACTCTCCTGCTGCTCAGCAGTGTTCTTTTGTCACAAATCAGCTATACAGGTGCAGGCGTGGGGTGCTCCCGGGGTCAGCTTGTCTGTCCTTGTGCGAAAATAACACTTAGTTATTGTGCTTTGTAATTAAAGCTTGGTATCTGATAGAGTGATATACTATAAATAATGTATTTTTGAAACATCATTTTCTATTTTTTATACAAAATATTCTATTTATTCTTATAGAAAAGCAACTGATTCTTGTATGTTAACCTTATAAATGGCATTCATGCCAATGTATTAATCCTACTAGTTTTTTTGTAGCTTATTTTGTAAATTCTACATAATCACACCTGTGAATAATGAGTTTTGCTCCTTTCTAATTTTTATACCTTTTATTTGTACAATATTGGTGATAGCAATCATCCCGATCTCAGAGGGCAAATGTTTCGATAGTTCACTAAAAAAGTGATGTTTGCTCTATGTTTTTCATAGCTGGCCTTTATTAGCTTAAGGAAGTTCCCCTCTAGTCCTAGTTTGCTAAGTGTTTATTATGAATGGATGCTGAGTTTTACACGTTTTCTTCATTTATGGGGATCATCATGACTTCTTTGTAATGTGATAAATCACACCAGTTGATTTTAGATGTTATCCAATCTTTGTGTTTCTAAAATAAACACCACTCATTATCATTTTTTGTATCCTGCTATATGCAGTTTGCATCTTGTCTGGGAGTTTTGTAACCATGTTCAGAGTCTGGAATGGTCTGGAGCTGGGCTGCAGTCTCTGTGGGGTGGTCTGCCTCCATCTATTTCTTCCTCATCATAGGGCACAGCTCTTTGAGGTCTTGGCCCACATCGGAAGGATTAACCTGAGGCCCTCCGCGCAGCCCCTGCTGGAGTTCTGAGTACTAAGTCCTGTGCCCTGCACCCAGAGAGGCCATCAGAGGTCTTGAGCTTCCTCTCAGTTGCCTCTGTTGGATTGGTTTTCTCGTAGAGGCTGGCCTGGTAAATCACTACTTTGCTAGCTGTCTAATGCCCTCAAGTGGTTGGGGTTTTTGTTTCTGTCTTTTATGTTTTATTAGCCTCTCCTAGCCATCCTCAGCAAGAGGAAGTTGGTTGTTATCAGTGCCCCATTCTAGGAAGTCTGTGGAGTGTCTTACTCATGCAGAATGACAGGACAGTGAGCCCTGCCCAGGAGAACCACCAGGCTGCCCCTGCTCTAGGCCCTCTCTGTACCTGGTAAGCCTGGACCCCGTCACATGAAGCAGAAAGGCCTGGACTATGAAATCAAATGATCCTGAAACAAAGGATCACAAACACTGACTTCCAAACAAAGAACACTGAGAGGTTATAGGAGTAGTTCCTAGGTCTTTTACTATCACCTTTAAGAGGTCACCTCTGCCTGGGTGCGAGAACTCATCCCTGCTTGCCTTCCTGAAAGAGCGGCCCCAGCAGGTTGTTGTTCTTCAGCCCCAGCTTCACTCAAACCCTTCCCGTCAGCATGTGTGTGCACGCCATTTTCTCCATCACAAGGCAACACTTGCTGACCCTACCTCTTCTTCCACCCATCAGCCTGTGCTTGCCCGCCTTCAGAGCCACGCTCCTTGCAAGAGTTGTTGACATTGGCTCCAATTCCTTTTGTTTTTCTTTCACAAACCCACTCTAGTCTGACTACTGGCCTCCAATCTATCAAAGTGTTTTTGTAAATGATACCAGTGACCTCGGCATCTATAGTTACTTCTGCTCTCATTTTATTTGGCCCACTAGCAGCGTCTGATACAGCTAGTCACAGCAGCTCTGATACAGCTGAGCATCAAATCCATGCTCAGCTACCAGGTGTAAAGCTGAAGGCAAGTGACATCTTTTTGAGTGTTTCCTAACATGGGAAAAGAAATGGAGAGTAACCTACCTACCAGGATCAGGGAAGCTGGACAAGCCTACACAAAGAGAGCATTCATAGCCCCTACAGAGGTAACCCCAGGCCTTGCACACAGTAGGTGCTTGAGTAAAAGTGAAAAATAACTACCAGGCAAGGTAGAAAGTATATATTGCAAGCAAGGAGATCTTAGGGAAGGTCAGAGGTAGGATGTGGAAAGATGTCCTGGGCTGGGGGAATGGCATGAACAACAGCTCAGAAGAGGGGACGTGAGGGACCTGCACAGGAGGAGCAGGTGACTTGCTTTTGTTGGAGCGCACCATGTGATGGAGAGCTGAGACCTCAGGGTCAGCTCTCCAGGTCACTGCAGCTCTAGACACCAGGCTCTGCCTCCCCAGGCACAGAGCTATCCACAGCTTCAGGCAGGACCTCACGTGACGCATTCTGAACTTCCAAACTGTCCACTGCCTAGCCTGGCAGTGAACTAGGGTGGCAGGAGGAAGATGTGGAGGGAAGTGGCCAGGTGGTACCAGTATGTTACAAGGCTGGGGCAAGGCCCAGGTGATGGGCAACCAAGATGTGACAGTGGTGAGCAGGATAAAGCTGAGACTGCCCTGGGGTGCCTCCCCCTGGTTCCTGCAGGGCCCCAAAAGACTCACAGCCAAAGGGGTTGGTGCTTTTAAAGGTGACGTCAATGGGGAAGTTCCATACCAGCGTGTGCCGCACATCATGGCTCTTAGATGTGATCTGGGAGATCCCCTCCTCCAGACCCTGTGAGGACAATGACACTGACAGCTAGTGTCCAACTCCAGTCACACACTCCCCTTTCCTGAGCAGGTGGGTGGTGGGAGGGCTGTTTTTTCACTACCTTCTGCCAAAACACTGACTTCCAAACAAAGAACACTGAGAGGTTATAGGAGCAGTTCCTAGGTCTTTTAATATCACCTTTAAGAGGTCACCTCTGCCTGGGTGTGAGAACTCATCCCTGCTTGCCTTCCTGAAAGAGCAGCCCCAACAGGTTGTTGTTCTTCAGCCCCAGCTTCACTCAAACCCTTCCCGTCAGCATGTGTGTGCACGCCATTTTCTCCATCACAAGGCAACACTTGCTGACCCTACCTCTTCTTCCACCCATCAGCCTGTGCTTGCCCGCCTTCAGAGCCACGCTCCTTGCAAGAGTTGTTGACATTGGCTCCAATTCCTTTTTCTTTCACAAACCCACTCTCGTCTGACTACTGGCCTCCAATCTATCAAAGTGTTTTTGTAAATGATACCAGTGACCTCGGCATCTATAGTTACTTCTGCTCTCATTTTATTTGGCTCACTAGCAGCATCTGATACAGCTAGTCACTGCCTGACATCCTTCTTCCACCTGGTTTCTGGGGTATCTCATGTCTTTGGGTCTTTCCTCCCCTCAGAGGCCCCTGCTCTATAGATCTTGTGCATCCTCCTTTGAGCTGAAGCGTCTTGACGCCAAAGGCTCAGCCTTTGGATGCTTCTCTATCTACACTGGGGATCTTCTCAGTGCGGTCTGTGTGTTTACGATTCCTAAGTTCATCATCTCCAGCCTGGTCCTTGCCCCAGCTCCACTGCCAAGTTCTCCCAAATCTGTTCTATCCACAGTATTCTCACTAAACTCTACTTCCAAATGCTTAGGCTGAAAAGCCTGGCATTATTCTTAATCCATCTTTCTCACATGCTCTGTATCTGTTCAACAGGAAAACATGTTGGCTCCATCTTCAAAATATACTTGAAATCCATCCACCTCCTCACTGCTTCCCCTTGTCCACAATGCTATCTTCTCCCACCTGTTTATAATCGATGGTCTACCTGCTTTGGCCCTTGCTCCCCCACGGTCTACTCTGAAGTAAGAAGCCAAAGGGATCCTTTAAAAACACAAGTCAGATTACCTTTTCTCTCTGCTCAAAACTCTTTTGAGTACCATCCCATCCCATGTAAAGGTCATGGTCCTTATTCTGACCTACCGCAGCCTCTAAGATCTGCCTGTGACCTTCCTATTTCATCACCAAGCACTCTTCTTGCTCACTTTGTTCATCGGCCATACTGGACTTCTTGTGAGTCCTCAAACATGCCAGGCTCACTCCTGCCTCAGGGCCTCACACTCTGTTCCTTCCGCCTGACACATTCTCACCAGATTCCACACAGATCGTGCCTTCCCTTCCTTCAGGTCTTTACTCCTCACCTTCCCAGCGAGGCCTTCCCGGATCACCATTATCTAGACTCCAGTCTCCCATCCGTCCCAGCTCCCCTTCCTAACTTTACTTTCTCTGCAGCCCTGGCTCCTGGCTAACATACTAGAATGTTTACTACTTACTGCGTGACTCCCAACGAGAGTGTATACTCCAGGGAGACAGGGACTTCTGTCTGGCCTTGCTCACCACTGTATCTATCACCAGCACCCAGAATGCTCTTAATAAGCAGTTATTCAGTCAATGGGTAGATGGAAAAATAGTATCGTCAATCTCAGTTATACAGATGAGGAAACAGACTCAGGAGGTTAAATAAATTGGGCCTCTGTGTCCTCATCTGCTGTGAAGATTAAATAAGAGTGCTGCAAACAGTATGGTGTGGTCCAGGCTGAAGCTGTCTTGGAGCAAAGGGGCTGACTGTTCCTTGGGAAGTCTTCAAAGGAGAGCTCCTGAGTCCTCCCCACAGGCTGAGAAGGTCAGCCAGCAGACTGGCCCAGAGTGTCTACAGCCAGGCCACACCCAGGTTGGCATTCTGGGGCCTGTCTGCAGATGCACTGACCATACACCTCTGTTTGCCACCATGTGCAAGCTCCCAGGATAGGGCATATGAGTGAGCCCTCGGGGGATGGAGCAGTGAGGCCAATGGTGTTTGTGTTCTCCACACCAGCTTCACTGAGAACAAACTCATTTTGGGTCCCCTCTGAACCCAATATCTACTTTTCAAATGTTTCTGAACTGGGAGGGGAAGGGGGGTATTCAGCACTTTCAGAAACTCCAAGTCATGAAGGACATGAGAGAGGCCAGCTTACCGCAGTGGGGGCCCAGTCATGACCATATACAAAGCAGTACTTGCAGTAGAGATCATCATGCTCAGGGAACTGTGGAAACAAGCACACATAGCTTCTGTTACAGGAACTCTCACTGAGGCCAACCTGTTGGCTAGGCAGGCACAGCCAGCCAGTAGTGATTCTGAACGAGAGACACCTGGGCTGAGATGTGAGCAAGAGCCACAGATGTGAAAGTTAAGTTCAGCATTGGGGCTCATGCTGTAAAAGTCCAAGGGACAGTCCAGAGCTGCTGCTGTCCCCAGGCCTTTGCACAGGCTCTATCTTCTGTTGGACATGCCCTGCCCACTTCTTCATCTAGCAAACTCCTGCCCATCCTCCAAGACCTACCCTTCAGGGAGGCCGCCCTAACTTCCAGGCTGTCTTAAGGGCCCTCTCCTGGCTCCTTCAGCCCCTGGTGCTTCCTTCCATCAAAGCATTTGCTGGTGTTCACTCTTGTTAATAACGCCATTAGACTGTGAGCAAGGAACAGGCATGATGCCTGTCTACCCCAGTGCCTGATACAGGGGTGGACACAGAGGAGATCAAAGGAAATGGTGTGGAACTGAAGGTCTGAGAGCCCATGGTGCTGCTAGGACCCAGCTCCTGTGCAGAGCTGCAGCTGAAGGCCTGAAGAGTGGGAGGGGCCCGGAGCAGAAGGGCAGGCAGATGGGAGTGGGATGGGTGCTTAGAGTGCACACATATGACCTGACCCAGCCCAGCCCAGCCCAGCCCAAGTTTAATAAACTTTTCTGAGACGAGGGTCCCAAAAGCTCCAAAGTGAGCATCCCCCTGACTCACTGGGAGGCTGCTTGGCGCCACCTGGGTACTCTTTCAGAACCCAGGGGCGGGGACCCTCACACAACCTGAAAGGGCAGTGCAGTGAAACTCTGGCGTTATGAAGACCTGGCTTCAAATCCCAGTTTTGCCACTTTCTTTGGGTAAGTTTTCCCATTTTTAATGGGCACGCTAGTAATACCTACTTCACAGGGTTGTTGTGAAGATTTAACGAGCAGTGCTGAGCACCGCGTTCGGCACACAGCGAATACTTGTTGAAACTTAAAAAAGTTATATGTGAATAATCAAATGGTTCTTATAAAGCGTAGGGGTATAGGGAGAGTGGCGTACCCTCGCATCTGACCGGCACATCCTCCCTGGATCATTCCAGGACACTACCGTCGTTGGATAAGATTAATCGCATCATCTCCAATCTAACTCAAGTTCAAGATCTGAGAGTTCGGACGGAGTTGGGGCAATCACTGAGCACGCGACCCCGCACAGACGCCTCCGGCTCCATCGGCTCGGGCCGCGCCTAAGCTCCTCAGGAAAGTGCGCACAATCCTAGCCAGGGGCCACAACTTGACCGAGTGTGGCCTCGGTACTAGGTCAATCTCCTATGTGTTTCCACACGCGCACATCAAGGTTAAGGATTTCTAGCAATCTTGAGCCAGGCCTCTCAAATGCTGGTTCCCCTACCCCGCCTGATGAATGACACTTCTCTTTGGGGCCAAAAAGCAGCCCGTGAAGTTGCGGGACTATCCCCCGGGGGAGCCTGCGGTACCCGGGAAGAGACCATGGCCGCTCACCTGGGCGCTCTCCACCTGCCCGTTGATCACGAGTAGAAAGACGCTGGGGCCCACAACCGCCATGGTAGGAGGCGCGCGGTGTAAATCACCCAGGTTGCGCGCGCATCTAGTAGTTGGCTCCCTAGTTGCCCTGGAAACAGACGGCGTGGCACGCGGGACACGTTTTCTTGGAAGCGGGAACTTTGCGAAGGCCTGTGCCCGTAAGTGGTGGTACGCAGGCGCAGCCAGTGGCTCTTCCTCTCTATGGGGACCGCTGGGACAGTACGCGAGGCGCTAGACGCGGGCGGGGTGCGGCGGGGATCTGGGCCCAGGATGTAGAGTTTAGCCCCGTTGAATCGGGCGGAGCGTCCGACTCTGGCAAGTCCTCAGGAAGCCAAGTGCTACAGACAGCCCTTGGCCACGCGATGTCGCTATGGCGCTACCGCGGGGACGGCAGTGGGAGGAGCCTGCTGAGCGCGGGCCGAGGGTCTCTGCTAGTCGGAGTAAAAACACCCTCGCTGGGAGCTTACTCAGAAGAGGGTCCCCGCCCCTGGGTTCTCAAAGAGTATCCAGGTGGGGCCAAGCAGCTTCCGAGTGAGATCAGGGTGATGCTCACTTTGGAGCTTTTGGGACTCTCGTCTCGGAAAAGTTTATTAAACTTGGAAGGAACCGCAAGAATCCATAAAGCAAGCCCCCGCTCTTCTGTGTGAAGCTGAGAAACAGGCCCACGGAGGGTGCAGTAGCCGGCACCCCAGTCACCCAGCCGTTAAGGGAAGAGGGTCTGAGGGTTCTGAGTGCGGGCACTCACTGAGCAAGGTGAATGCTCCACACCCCCCAGGTTTTGTCAGGTTCTGTCAGGACGTTGCGCCAATAACAATTGCTCTCTGGCTGCCCAGAAGATCCTAGCTTCTGCTAACACATTGCTCCAGTTGTCTCAGTACTCACCATGGTTTGCATTGCGCATTTAATATTTATTATCTCTCCCTCCATCCACTCGGGGTCACCCAAATCTTGTGCCCCGCCCAGCCACTCCCCTTATCTAAGGCCATGATAATGTTGCTAGACTCAGGGGAACCACTGCTCTGGCAAGGTAGGTTTATTTACTACAGGATTCAAAGCCAAAGCTCTGTCTGTGGGAAGGGAGGCTTAGCCTTTGCTTATATACACAATTTGGTTAATTACATGTTGATTTCTTCTTTGCAGTTGACTACATTTATCCTCTGAGTTTCTTTCAAGCTCATTCTGTTAACAGCTGCTCTTTAAAATTTTGTGCTACATTTTAACAGTAGTCAAGAATAGCATTTAGTAAGAATGGCCTAGACCTTGAGATCCTTGCCCTAACAATTCCTCCCTGAGATTTTTTTCACTCCACATTCTTGAGGGAATAGGGACGAGGGCTGCAGGGGCGACCACTTTCTCGAGGTCCCCCCGGTGCCATGGACACGTGTGAATGAGTAAATGTGGCCGAGACAAGAGGAGATCTGTTTGGGGATGGAGGCATGGGCTGTGGCCAGTTTCTCCGAGGAGAAAAAGGCCCCGATCGCCTTTCTCCATAGCCTTTTATTGGGTTGTAATACACAGGAGTACAGGGTGGCAAGGATCAAACAGTAGATAACATTTCAAAGAGGTCTGAGGGTTTCAGTGTGAGTGAGTGTCAGGAAGAGAGTTGCAGAAACTTTGGGAGACATACTCATTTCCTCTCAGACCCTTATCATATGAATGAAAGCACTCTTAGCAGAGCAGATTTCACAGGTTTATCAGCAAGTCTTTGTGATGCCAGATTTTTCCCCAGGGCACATTCTGGCCAGGCAAAGAGCTGCACTTCTCCCCATCAGGTATTCAGACTTAAGGGGATTAGAGCCAGGAAGTGCTTCTCCCAGAGGACATGGGGACTCAGGCTTTGACAAAGCTGGGGGGCAAGAGTCCATTGCTTTTTGTTGCAGCCCCTGAGTCCTTCCATGAAGGCCTCCCAGGTGATCGAGTCTGGCTTAGGTTGCCCCCCACTGTGAGGGGTCTTACCCGTCATTGACTTCCGACTAAGCTCTGGGGGCAGGGAGAGGAACTGAGGCAGCGTTTGCTACCAGAGACAGGCTTTGTCTCCTGTAGCTGGCATTCCAAAGGTCGTCTCTCACCCTTAGCCACATTGGGTAGAGATACATTTCCTAAAATCAGGCAGAGCGGTCTACTACAGAGGGCCATCCCTCTGTAACTGGTTCCTGCTGAACGTGGGTGGAGTGTGTGTTTGGACATGGAGCAGTGAAAATCTCTGGCTGCCTGATTTATGAAAGCCTTGGGGCTCCCTAGGTTCTGGGGGTCCTGAGGACAGAAGAGCTTGAAGAGAGCTCTACTCTAACAGGAAGCATGTGTCACAAGGGGTGAGGCAGCAGTGGGAAGAACCATGGAGATGGAGGCCCTGCCACCCACGAACTCACACTCTGGTGGGGCTCCAGTGAGCAAGATGGACCAGGCTGTTAGCCTCCCTGAGGACAAAGGAGCCAGCAAGGGAGCAAAGGGGAGGTGCTATCATATTTGAATCTCTTTCCATAAAATTCAGGATACCCAGCCATGGTTTTTATTCAGAGGTCACCTATTGAGCTGCTAGGACAGGTAGAAGCTGGGCAGGAAGTGACCCTATGGAGAGGGCAAGCCCAGTGGATGAAGCCCAGCGGCCCCAGAGGGGGAAAGGATACCAGATGTGACAGGTCTACACAACATGCAGTCAGCATCCCATGGTTTCTCAGCCACACTGACCCTTGTTGCCAAGTAAAGAGCTGCACCCGGTAAGGCATCTGGGCCTGGGGAGGGAGGCTGGACACGGCCTTCTGCATCCACTCCCCTGGGACAGTGCACCACAGAAAAGCCCCCTGTGAGGCAGCAGGCTCACAGGGGACATAAGCTCTATGTGTGTACATACAATCACACACACGGGAGGAGAATAAGGCCACACACATGAGGCCACCCTCTCCCGGCCCACACAGCACAGGGCCCTCTGTGATCAGACATTCCGTTAGACACCATCCCCAGTTAGCCAGCTACACAGCTGCAGCTCAGAGGCAAACACCCCTCTGAAAATCAGGATTTGGGGAGAAAGCACCACTCACTGGCAACCTCTTTGTCCCCAAAACCGACTGTGTAGCAGGCACTGGGATGAGCCTTGAGAAGAACAGATCACCTGAGGTATGTACAGGCCACAGTTCCCACCTCTCACAGACTGTGGCTCCGTCACTCCTTGTCCCCAGTTTGGAAACAATAGGAGCTCAGGACTGATAGTGAAGACAGGAAAGAGGTGCAGGCACAGGTTGTCATGAGACACAAAAGTAAAGACAGTCAGCCATGCAGTGGGGGCTGCTCATATGAGGCACCACCTCGCCTCACTTCAGGTCAGCCACAGACACCCACACAGCACTCACCCTCTACTGCAGCCCCAGGTCCTGGCTCCTCTCCTCTTCTGGCACCTGGACTCCTAGAGCCATTGGGCTGAGAAGGCCTCCCAAGGCTGGCCCCAGGTCCCAGACATGGGGGCCTGTGGGAGGAAGAGGGCAGGCCAGGCTGCCTGGCTCACCTACCACAGGGCAGACCCACTCTGCTGAAAGGACAGCTCTGGGTGGTGTGGCCTCCCTGCAGCTGTCTCTGTCCCAGCCCACACTTGGCAGAGCGGAGTTCTGTTCCTAGCCCCCATGGCTGCCCCTGCTGGGACAAAGCACGGGGCTGCCCCACCCTGAGCTTCCTGGCAGGGCCGGTGCCTGGTCAGCCCACAACACTGCGCTTGGGAAATAGTGCCTCCCTAGTGCACAGCCGACTCCAAGCCTGGAGCAGGGCCACCTCGACGGGATGGTTTTCTACCACTGACCAGTTTATCATATTTCTCAATTTATATAAGAGTTTAACTTCTTTTTTTAAAAAAGATTTTATTTTTTTAGAGAGAGGGGGAGGGAAGGAGAAAGAGAGGGAGAGAGACATCAATGTGCAAGGGAAACATCTACCAGCTGCCTCTTGCCTGCCCCCAACTGGGGACCTGGCTCCTAACCAAGGCATGTGCTCTGACTGGGAATAGAACCAGCAACCCTTTGGTCCCCGGGCCAGCACTCATTCCACTGAACCACACCAGGGCAAGAGCTTAATCTCTTTAACTCAAATAAACAGTGCTCTTTTTATCACAGTCTGAAGAATGAGTACACCCTAGGGGCTGAAATCGGTTATTAAATTTTATTTTCCCATAGCCAGCACATTTACATATTAGACAAGGCAAACACAAATGTCCACACAAAGGACAAAATCCATCTCCTGCAGGACAGACAACCAGACCAGAGATTTTGTCACTGAAAATGTCTTGGATTGCCCTGCAGGCGTCCCTCAACCCTCAGGTCAGGCCCTGAATCTGGCATCCTGGACACAGTTTCTACCTGACCAACCGGAAACAAGCGCGCACCAGAACTGAAACTACCTTTCTGACAACACTAACAGGAATAGAAACGCTAATTAAAGTGACTACCCTCTCCCCTGCTGAAGCACTGCGCGGAAGAGGTTCGGGTGGCCACTCTGCTTCGCTGTTGAAGTTCCCATGCTCAGTGCTGAGGGGGGAGTCTCCCATAGAACAGACCCCCCGTCCAGTGGAGACGCAGGTGAGTAAGCCCTGGATGAGCTCACTGCCGACTGCTCCTCCAAGTGCCCCCACCAGGCCCAGAGGGGAGTTCTTTTAAGAGTCCCATCCACTGTCATCAAATCTGGTACTGAACTCAAGGGGTTCACCACCTGGGATGCTCTATTCAGAAAAGAGACATGCTTGTTGCAAGGTAGTTTTATTTACTTTCAGCAAGTAAAGGAGAACATGTATTCATATCCAAAGCTCTGCATCCGGAAGGGAGGCTTAGCCATTGCTCATAAGCATTATTTGGGCAATTACATCTTGATTCTTCTTTGCAGTTGGCTATGTTTATCAGGTTGGGATCCTGTCAAGCTCATCCTATTCACAGCTGATCTGCAAAAGTACTGTGCTAGATTTTAACATTCAGCAATAATAGCATTTAGTAAGAATGGCCCAGACCTTGAGATCCTTGTTCTATCTAACAAAGGTGTGAGTCATGCAAAGATCTGAGGTGAGCATGTCCAGACAAATAGCACAGTAAGTGAAAAGGCCCTGTGGTGCACTATGCTTGCAGAACAGAGAGGCAGACTTATACTGGC